TGATAGTTGACCCGACCGTTACATAAACATACACATCAACAGAAAACACACTCACCCAACACTCACACAGTCACCTACACAAACACTATCTATAGAATAGTACTAAAAATCTGAGTTGAAACAAACGCTCAGGTGGACCTCTTTATTTCCCCAACAGTTCAAACAAAAGGGCATCAACAAATGTGAAGCATGGTTCAATTGATACAGCTTCACTTAATCCCCAACTCTCCCTATTGACTGTCCTAATTTCCGGCGGCCAAAGAATAGGAAAATTTGATGTTCACCTCTTCTTCTTCGCCATTGTAGTTATCTTCCTCGTTTGTGTAATCATTATCATCATCCACGTCCCTGCCCAAGTAACCATTGATTCTCCGGTTTTTCAAGGGCCTGTCGTCGTCCTCCGATGAAGATGCTGACGCGGCGGGCGCGTGGTCCACGCGCCGGAACCGGCTCCTCTGCAGGGTGGTCGGCTCCGACTCGCCGCCGGTCTGGAGCTTGAGCAGGTGCTCCAGTTTTTTCTCCCTACGGAGCTGGTCCTCTTCATCAGTGAACAGCTCATCCTCGTCGAAGTAATCGTCGAGGTCGAAGACGTACTTTACACTCCGGCGGCGGAGGCTTCGCCGGAGGTCTCGCTCCGACTGCGGCGGTGGCGGCAGATCTCTGGTGCCGGGATCTATCTTCGGCGGCCTCCCTTTCTTCTTCCTCTTCACGATCTGCTCCATCATCCGAGATTCTTCACCCAATTTCCTCTCTCTAAGAAAAGGGGAAAACAACAATTTCTCTCTCTCTCTCTAATAATTCAAACAAATTTCATTTTCAGCAATCCTTCTCTCCCTTCCTTTTCTCCACCATTATTGGTCGGAGAGTGGTGTGTGCTTTGGGTCCGAAGCAGACTGGCTCAGATGCTCAAGTAGAAGACAGAAGGCGTGGACGGCTACGCTCCACGACGTCGTATGGTGCTGCCCGCTGCCCGGACTACCATCGTGGCGCGGGCCCACTGACTTTGGTTAGCTGCCCGTGATGACGTCAATCCCTTGACTTTTCCTCATTGCTATATCCCCGCATATTTTTCGTCCAATTAGTCGAGGCGCGTATTCATCGAGTGAACACGCGCGCGTGAGCCGGTCACCATTTTTGCACTCTACGGGGACCACAACATTTATTTTTTTTTAAGTGTTATTAAATACCGTCTCTTTTTTACTAAACTAGTAATCACCCGTGCGATGCACGGGAACATTATAATCTATGTGCTTTTTAGAAGACAATTTTGTATATAAATTGGGTAATAATGCAATGATCATAAGATTAGACATATAAACATATAATTAAATTGAAAAAATTATATATTATTGAACACTTCTCTATATACAACATTATTGGTTTGATTCTTTGGCAGATCATCTTACCCACAAATAAACATTTTCAAACCTTTTCGATTAGTGACACGAGAGACAACAATATATAACTGGTCATGACTGAACACTGTTTTCTTAAGAAATAAGCCAACATGAGATAATGATTGTCCATGTCTCTTGTTCATAGTCAGCAACATATAACTGGTCATGATTGAACACTAGTTTCTTAACAAATAAGCCAACATGAGATAAGGATTGTCCTTGTCTCTTTTTTATAGTTGTAGCGTAAGAAACCATATGGAGAACTGTCATATTTGTTTTCATGTGTATTTAACTGTCATATCCGTCTACAAAGATGACCACGAAATCTACATGTGTGTAATTATTTTTATTATATTTTTTGAACATCATTTGACTAACTTCAAGTTGTGATTTGATGATAAGATACATTACAATGATTTAATTCATTAATTGATTTGGTTGTTTAGATTTTTTTTTCGTGTAGAGAGATTGAGTGAGTTAATGTAAACGTGTTTAATCATTAAATGTATTTCTGTTAGTATATTAGCATGGCATAAAAATTATAGTATTATATTATTCAATGATAAATATTAAGGATGCTTTATTGGAATTATGTTATTTAAATGTGCTGTTTAAAATAGTATTATATTATGCTTTATTATTCAATTGCACAAGATTTATCTCGACCACCATTCCAATGACATCTAAATATGTGTTAAATTAGAGTAAAATTATTATTTATCATAAAAATTCTAAAAACTAAAATAAAAATAATTGAAAATGCGATTATCGAATAGGATTGATTCGTCGATCTTCTCGACATCAATCAATGTGATGAACCTTCGAAAGTCGAAACGGTAAATTGAAAAGTCACCCTTGTAGCTTTTGTGTTCAGTTTTACCATGTAAGATAAGCCTGTATTTGGCAATGGTGGATCTGTACATTCCAATATACATTCCAATCTGTATTCGGGTTATGTTTGTTATGCACTTGTTGAGGATAAAATGAACCAACATCATATACAGTTAAAAAAATGATATTAGTATAATTAGTATAAGTTATATTATTATAAATTAGAAATGATACTTGTTTGAAAAAAATATATTAGTATAAATTATTATGTTATATATTAGAATTGATTATCTTATAAATTAGAATTTATTACTAATATGTTAGAGGTTAGAAATTATTGTATTATAGATTAGAATTTATTGTCTTATGAGTTAGAATTTATTGCTATTTTGTTAGAGGTTATAAATTATTGTATTATAGATTAGAATTGATTATGTTATAAATTAGAATTTATTACTATTATGTTAGAAGTTGGAAATTCTTATGGTATATTATGTTTGTGATTGATGACATTCATTATGTTATTGATATATTGTGATATTCAGCTGTGTTTATATTAATATAATTAGTATAAGTTATATTATTATAAATTAGATACTAGTTTGAAAAAAAATTATATTAATACAAATTATTATGTTATATATTAGAATTGATTATCTTATAAATTAGAATTTATTATAATATGTTAGAGGTTAGAAATTATTGTATTATAGATTAGAATTGATTGTCTTATGAATTAAAATTTATTGTTATTTTGGTAGAGGTTAAAAATTATTGTATTATAGATTAAAACTGATTATGTTATAAATTATAATTTATTACTATTATGTTAGAAGTTGGATATTATTATGGTATGATTTAGAATTGATAGCCTTATGAAATAATATTTAGTACTACTATGTTAGAAGTTAGAAATTATTATGGTATAGATTATTACTATTATAAATTAGAATTTATTACTATTTTGTTAGAACGCTTTTCCTACTACAACATTCAAACGAATCATATTACTATGAGAAAAGTGTCAAACAATCTCTTGTCATAAAATTCGGTCAAATCATACTTAATTAATCGGTCTCAATGAATTGCTCTAACAGAATCCAATTTTTTTCATTCAATTTGTTATTTAAATTGGTATTTATGAATTTCAAATTTAAGTCAAAATATTATTTTGTATTTTAAAATTTATTACCGAGTTGAAAAGGAGCAGATTTAAGAAAAAGGGAAATACAATTTTTAATAGCATCACTCATTAGTATTTTATTAGAGATAATTAGTATTATGTTATATAAAATAATAATTTATGAGTTCTAACATAATAATAATAACAAAATTCTATAAAATAATTAGTTATAATTTATACTTTAACAATTTCTAAATTCTAACTATGAGATATTAAATTCTAATTTATAACATAAATCTTAATTCTAATATAATGTATATAATTAAAAATTTGATTAAAAAAAATGGCCGGCCGGCTGCATGGTGCGGCCAACCGGCAAAACCGGCCGTGCATGGTGCGGCCAACTGGCAAAATCGGCCGTGCATGGGCCGGCCAACCAGCAAAAAGAAGGCCGGCACGGCTACGACCGGCATTCGAGGCCGTCCCAAAAAAAAAATTATTTTTGGCCGATTTGACCGGTCGGCCGCCGCATAACCGGTCTTGTTGGAAAGCATTTTTTCGCCAGAATTATTCAGAGGTGTTTTCAGAATTTTTCGAGGCTCGATTTGGCCGGTAAATAGTTCTAAATAGGGACATCTCTTCTTTTTTAAAAAAAAATAAATAAAGGGTAAATTAGTCTTTTCGGGGGCGATAAATATCGAAAAGAGGACGGTGTTTACCGTTTCACTTTTTTTTGGTACAAACCACAACATTGATTTACTCAAATTAGTGTTTGTTTATTTGTGTCGTCCGCATTTAAAGTTGGGAGCGATGTTCAAAATACATAAGGCGGTAACATTTCCGACGTGTTAGAGCATCTATCATGCTATAGTTTGGAAAGACACTGATTTTTAACATACGTCAATCAATGATTATAATGTTAATTCATGTAGGAATAATGTTAAATTAGTAAAAATTTGAATCAAACTAATATCTCCAATAAGGGTGTGCATCGGTCGGTGAACCGAATTAGAAAAACCGAACCGAACCATAGTATGCCAAAAATTAAAAGTGACAAAATTATCAATTTAACCGAACATTAACCGACCGAATTTTTTGGTCGATTTCGGTCGGTTTAGTCAAACTGACCGACTATACATTTTAAAATATATATAATATATATACATTTTAAAATAGGCAAAATTGCATATAATATCACGACCTTTATCGAGATTGTAAAATAATCACGACTTTTTAACTTTTTCATACGATATCACAACCTTCAAATCTTTGCAAAACGGTACATACTTTTCGTCTGCTGCCAACTCACATGCTGATGTGTATTTATCAAAATTTTTTTACCATCTCAGCCCTGAAACGACGTCGTTTCGTCGGACGTGTATAAGTTCGAATTTTGTTTTCCACGTCATCCACAAACGACGTCGTTTTGCACATCACCCGTCGATTTAAATAGAAAAATTGCAATCAATTTTTAATTTCTAACCCTAAAATCATCTTCGTTCCCCGATTCTCTCTGGTCTGAGGAAGAACCCTAGAAGACGATTGCTCAGTTTAGAAGACCACTCCATGTCGACCGGTTCCATTTCATATAGGAAGACAAGTTCGGCAGCAACATTCCCGAGTTCAGCAAATCCGAAATTAGAATGTAAACATAGGGAAAAGCCCGATCTTCTTACCTCTCATACTGATCTGAATCCGGCTAGGAGGTACTACCGGTGCAAATATCGAATGGTAAGTGAAGTCTAAATTTATAAAATGCCCAACAAATTGATTGAGGATCTTGTTACTGATGAACAATATTATTAGAAAAGAGGATGTGTGTTGTTTGTATGTGAAGTCTGAGTAATCTTTTTGTGTGCTTTATGTTTGTAGGTTGTATTTAAGTCTGAGTAATCTTTTTTGTGTGCTTTATGTTTGTAGCTTGTATTTAAGTCTGATTTATGTTGGAAATCAGAAAAAAAATAGAGGTCTGCACCTATATGTTTTCATATACTGATTTTTTTATACATTACAGGATGATGATTGTAAATTTTCTGCTTGGTTTGATCCTGAACTCTCACCCTACCAGAAAGCTAGTTATTTGAAGTTGAAATGTCAAGTTTAAGTGTTGGAAGAACAATTGAAATGCAAAGTGTTTATGGAGAAACTTTTATCTGAAATATTTGAAGTAAAAGACAATGAGTTGGATCTGTTGAAAAGGAAAAATGTTGATATTGAGAATAATACTGCAACCATGGATCAGAGGAGAAAATCAGAGAAAAAATTGCTTATTTTAGTCACTATGTTTTTGTTAGCCATGTGGTTCTTTGGTGTTTCTAATGATGAGAAGTTAATGCTTATGTAGCTTTGAACAAAGATATTGTGTTTGTTGTTG